AACCCCGTGGGAAGGGTGGGCGAGCCGCCCCCGGCGCTCCGGCGGAGGGAAGGAGGAGGGAGGGAAGAAGACGGCGGTGGAGGATGCTGCGAAGGGAAACTTTGGAGAGGAGGGAGCACGTGAAAGGGGGAGCGGAGCGCCGCGCAGCCCGGGGGACGAGGGGGGACCCGGCCTCTCTCCGTTTTGCCGTCGCGATGCCACAACTGCATCCAAGGATTTTTAAGCTATTCTAAAACGTATTTATTTATCCATTCAGTCGAAAATTGCCCCTTCACTAAAGCTTCCCTTCGGAGCTCAGGGAGCCCGCCCCAGCGCCGAATCCAGCTTTTGTGAGAGAGGCTAACGCGTCCTGCAGTGGAAGAGGTCTCGTATCTTAATGAACATCCCCATAATTAGGAGGTTGGGGCGGTGGCCTTCTGGGGAGTGGGATTTTTGATTTGCACCAAGTGCCCGAGGAGGCCTCGGGAAGAGCCGCATGGGCTCCCGGCGCCCCCCGGCAGCCCAGATGAAGTTCCATGTGTCTGTTCTCCCCAAGTCTACCCTCCTCCTGCCAGAGTAGAGCCGAGGGTATCAAACATTCAAATTCAAAAACGAGCCAGTAGGACTATTCCTAATTAATACAACCCCTCTAGTGACTCAGCGGAAGCCAATCGGTTTCGTTGTTACTCGGAATAATTTGATTAAACCCGGATTTGTGTCTTTAAGAGGGGAAGAACAATACACGAAACAAACATTTCCACCTCCATTTTTCAATATGGCAGTTACCCCATAGCGGAAATATAATTCTTGGCCCAGGGCTCGAACAGTAACTGTTCTGATGAAATTCGCTGATGCGGGTTTAATTCAGCCGTAACCCTGCAGTTCCTGCAGATAACATGGGGTTGTTCATTCCAATATGTGTTTACTCATAATCCCTGCCCATTACAACAGATTGAATAGACTAATTTTAAACGCGCTCTGTCACGTAAAGTGACATTCGTACGAGCAGCGTTTCCTAAAGCAGCTTTCAAAGGAGAGTTTTGTTTTTGTTGGGAGACTACTTGTCTCATTTCCGGGGGCAGATTACGATACCTATAAAACAGTAGTGAGTTAAAACATCGCTCCACAATAGTTTGTATTGTTTGCAGTCTCAGCTGGACTTTCACATTCAGATGTTGATTGCCTTCGGGTTTTTTTTCAACTTCCTTAACCTCTTCAGCCCAGCTAATCAACAAACACACCTGGTAGAATTACAGCTCACTAGCTGCATGCTTTGAGAGGTCATTTCAGAAACATGTATTTCCTGAAAAGCAGATTTCTCCGGAAAAATGAGGGGTTTTTTACTCGGTGAGAATAGAGTTTAAAAAGGAGGAAACACCAGAAAGCAAGCACTCATACACAGCATGCTAAATGCGAAAAGGCTTTTAAAAGAGCATATTATCGCCAGTTTAAGTCAGAACGAAAACACACCATGAAAAAAAGAATACTCGGGACAAACAAACCCCACCGGCCTTACTTCCAAAAAGTTATGGGCAGACGATCTTTTGTTTGAATCCATCACACAAAGACCAAAACAAATTTTAAAATAAAAATCGCTCCAGGCTTAGTTATATTTACATTTTGTAGCATGGACTACAGTCTGATTTTCTTCCCCTCCATTTCTTTTTGTTTCTTTCCTGTTTTTCAAGTTACTGTTTGCGTCCAAACCAAGTTGTGAAAGCCCGATCGCACGCAGCGAAAATATTTATTCGCCGATCCCATAACACGAAAAGGAATGAAATCTGCACGTTTGCCTGACTGGGTCGTGTTCGAGTAGTTACAGTGACAGCCAAGCAATCTGCACCGCAATCTCCGCTTCAGTCACATTCAGGCGTCCTTTCCGCTCCTCCCCCTACCCCAGAAAACCCCGAATCACAATAATATGCTGCCCCCCAAGTCTGCCGAGGAAATGTCCGGCCTGGACACATTTCACAGCAGTTTTCCTTCACCATTCCCGCCCCCACTCTGGAAAGCAGAAAGAAAACAAGCCAGTCGCTGCATTTTGCCACCGCAACAAAGTCACACTTCGCGGTACCTGTGTATTTCATACCCCGTTTATTTGTTTTCGTAATCCCACGCACCCCCAGCACCTCTTCCGCAGAACATTCCGCCTTCCTCCTCCCTCCACAAACGCGTCCACGACCCCAGCCGCTTTCGGGTACAGGTGCGGGAGTAGTTACCCTCTTAAGCTTAAAAGCCTCCTTCTCTTCGTATATAAAACCACTTTCAAATCATTCTCGTGCCCTCCAGCGTCATCAAAACCAACCTTTAACTAATAGCTCCTAATCCAAACAGTTTGGGCAAGGCGAATCGTTGTTTAGACTGGCGGGGTACAGAGACCCCGGCCGGGGGAAGCGGGCGGGTCCTCCCCAGCCGGTTCCCACCGTGGTAACTTGCAGTTGGCACACACCGAGCTAGAATCGGAGGGGAAGGGGAGTGGGCAGAGCCGGTCCTGCCGGAATATTTTGCCCGGGGGCGAGCTCCGATACTCCCATAGAAAAAGCTAGGCCGCTTTTTTTTTTTTTTTTTTTTGGTCCCCTCTTGGTCTTTTATTTGGGCTCCCCCGAGCAGCGCAGGCTGCCAGCGCCGCTGTTCCAGGGGCTGCGGGGGCCGCTCCGCTCGGCGCCCGCCTCCGCCGTCCCGCCACGCCGTGGCAGCACTGAGCACCCGCCACCGCAATAAATAATCGGCGCTCACTGCAGCTCCAGCCCGGCGGATGCCGCAATGCAATGCAAATGCAGTGCTTTATCAGCCCGGCGGCACAGCCGGACCCGCGGCCGCCGTTTAAAGCCTTCCGAGCCGCTCTCTCGCCGTGAGGAGGCGGGAGCGGAGCCGGGCGGCAGAGGCGGGGGCTGCCGGGGGCGCCGTCCGCGGGTGCTCGCTGCCCCCCGCCGGCGCGCACACCGCGGGGCACCGGCCCGCCGGCCGCCGCTCCCCCGCCCCAGCGCCGCACCGTAACAGTCACAACAAGGAGAGCAAGGGGGGGGAAAGCTCCGTCTCCGGCGCTGAAATGGGCTCAGCCGCCGCCAAGCCCGCTCCGTGCACCCGAGGCGCGCAAGCCGCGAACCGCCGGCGGCGGACCCACGGCGGGGCAAGGGATTTATGCAGGCAGCGCTCGATCTGATAAAGAAAATCTAAGCCACATTCGCGCCGTTTCCCCCCGTCTAGAAATAACCTCCCGGACATGGCAGAGAAGCTAGGAGACATTGTGCTGTTCTGCTGTTGTTTTCCTTTTTTGTTTTTTTTTTTTAATGAAATAGTAAAAAAATAAATCATATCTAAATTTCTTCAACCGCAAATGAAATTCAAGCTAATGAGTTAATACTGCGAATTAATATTTAAAAATGTGTGGGGATATCACTTTTTTCCCCCCCATGCTGGGGGAAAAAAATCCCCTCCACTGATGCTGTAAAACTGAATTATTAGAAAATAACCTGATCGTCACAACATACCCCTGCCGAAGGCAAAAAGAAATCAACTTCGTGAAAAAAAAAAAAAATCCACCGCTTCTTAGCTAAATTACATAAAACAAACATTTTATTTAGGCATATTTTTGCATGCACTGCCTAAGTTAAAATCAGCTGAGCTGCAGCCATCTCTATTTTTGGCCGGTAACATTTCCATTTGGTTTAATTGCACATGTCTAATATTTAAACGTATTAAACCATTTTTCCCTGCTTACAGTAGTGTCATATACATTTCTCACCTTTTAGGTTCTGGCTCACAGGAGCCCCTGCGACTTTGACAGCTGTCGCTTTGGCTGCACAGGAGACGAATCGCCCTCCTTTTGGTGCCAGAAGAAGCAGGAAATTAGCCAGGTTGCAAGTTGAAAATCTGCCACGCCAGTGCTTTGAATCCAATATGCCACACCTTCCAGCGGGGGAACTGGAAATTGCCATCCCGGATCTGTGTTCTAGGCGGCTGCTTATGCCGAACCTCAGCACACTTTGTTCACTATTGCCTTACAAAGAACAAATGAAATGGGGATTGAAAGCCAGAGAGATCCGAAGCAGGACAGAGCTCAGCAAAAGAATGCGGCTCTATTCTCGCAAGGGAAATTATAAAAAAGTTCATGTTCACGGTTACCATCCACATGACCGACAACGACCAATGGAAAAACCGAACAACTCATAAAGTTGTATTGCAAAGTTGTAAATTTTCATAAACAACAACGGATTTATGGCCTTTTCCTCATCACTAAGAAGAGGCAGGTCTTAGAGAGGCGCCATCTTACCACAGAGGCAGCCCTGGAGTTTTTTAAAAGACCTGGACTTTGTACTAATTTTATTAAAATTACAATTAGTGCGTTGACCAGGAACGGAGTGTAGTAGAAAAAAGGGAACTTCAGCGCAAATAATGCTCCAGGTCTTACCTGTATTTACCCGGCCGAATAAAAGGACTTTTCAGGTTCGATTTTTTTTTCTTTTAATTAGAAAAAAAAGGGGGGGGTAATATTAGATCTCATTGATACTACGTGGTACCTGGCAAAAATAAGACGTTTACTAAAGCGGGGCAGTTTTCCCCCATTTTCGT